AACATTAATGAAAAGGCCTTCCAAAAGCTTCGTGGGGCTTGAACTCTGGGCCTGAGCTCTGTCCCTCAGCTCTTCAGATCCTCAGCTCAAGGCAAGTGCTCTACCACTTGAGCTACAGCACCAATTCTGGTTTTCTGGTGGTTTTTTTTTTGGTCGTGGGGCTTGAACTTTAGGCCTGGGCACTGTCCCTCAGCTCTTCAGCTCAAGGCGAGCGTTCTACCACTTAAGTCACAGCGCCACTTCCAAAAGCTTTTTGACCAACTTGAATATTAAAGCTTTAGGGAACGAAGGTTAGATGGCCTACCTATAAATTATGTACTACTTCAGTTTTTTATATATTTAGTATTATGTGTTGTTACTTGGAAATGCTCTTTCACAATCACGTTCTATGGAACATTTTTTTTTTGATACTGTTTTGCATCTTTAACACTGTTTCTTTTATTTCTTAGTCTTGGCATCATTTTAGTCTTCTAGACTGTACTGTTACTTCTTTCTACATAGGGTGTGAGCTTGCATTTTGTGAACCTATGTATATACTGTCTCTGAAATTTTATTATCAGAAACACAAAGATCTGTTGACCTATAATCACGGTGGAAGCACTTGAATTGCTATTTAAAGTTGTGTGTGTGTACTGGTACTAGGGATTGAATTCAGAGCTTCTCACTCTAGCTCAGCTTTGGGCTGTTGCTCTACCACTTAAGTCACACCTCTAGCCTGGCATTTTTCCTGGTTAACAGATGGAATCTCTAGGACTTTTCTGCCAGGGCTGGTTTCCAACTGCTACCCTCCAGGTCTCAGCCTCTTGAGTAGCTAAGATTACAGATGTGTGCTACTCTGTCCATTTTTAAATGGTTATTGTTGCTAATCTAGTCATTGTAATTATGAAGTCTTACTGTAATTAGCTGTAATCACAAGTCAGATGGCCTGTTACTTTATCTCTTGTTTTCACAACAGAAGGTAACTTGTGGGCGAGGAAATTACAGTAATCAAGGTTAATGTGAGATGAGAGGGTTTTTTTTTTTTCCTCCAAGCAGCTCTTATCATAATAAAGGAAACAAGAGAGTGCTGGAATAAAGAGTCCTTTAAAATTATAACTTCCAGGGCTGGTAGAGTGCTTGCCTAGCATGCATGAAGCCCTGGGTCTGATTCACAGAAAAAGCCAGAAGAGGCACTGTGGCTCAAGTGGTAGAGCACTAACTTTGATCAAAAGAAGCTCAGGGACAGTGCCCAGGCCTTGAGTTCAAGCCCCAGGACTGGCAAAAAAAAATTATGGGGCTGGGAAGGTGGCTCAGTGGTAGAGCGTTTGCCTTGTATGCACGAGGCCCTGAATTGCTCAGCACCACATCAGCAGAAAAAGCCAGAAGTGGTGCTGTGGCTCAAGTGGTAGAGTACTAGCCTTGAGCTGAAGAGCTGAGGAACAGTGCCCAGGCCCAGAGTTCTGGCCCCATGACGACAAAAAAAAAAAACTTCCAGGTGGGTACTGGTGGCTCACACCTGTAATCATGGTTACTCAGGAGGCTGAGATCTGAGGGTCAGTGTTTGAAGCCAAACTAGGCAGGAAATATGTGAGATTCATCTCAGATTAACCACTAGAAAACTGGAAGTGATGCTGTGGCTCACAGTGTTAGGGCAATAGCCTTGAATAAAAGAGCTTAGGGACAGAGTTCAGGTCCTGAGTTCAAGCCCCATGATAGACTAAAATAAAATTATAACTTACTCTTCAAAGGAGCAGTGTTTTACAGTACTAGGGATCTAACCCTGGGGAATCTTGCCTTGTATGTGATATTCTTTATTTGTGAAAAGAATATTCCTTGGGCCATTTTGCTCTAACAGCATAACTTCTCAGCATTTCTTTGTTCTCCTGAAGTTGATAAGCACCCTGATTTCAGACCTCATTGTCTTATTTTTTATTATTATTTATTTATTTTTGGGTCCGGTCATGGGGCCTGAGCTCTGGGCCTGGGTGCTGTCCCTCAGCTCTTCAGCTCAAGGCTAGCACTCTACCACTTGAGCCACTGGGCCACTTCTGGTTTTTTCTTTTTGCTTATGTGGTGCTAAGGAATCGAACCCAGGGCCTCAGGCATGCAAGGCAAGCGCTCTACCACTGAGCCACCTTCCCAGCCCCCCCTCATTGTCCTTTAGTAATAAGACTTCAACATAATTGTTGAAGATCTCTATTTTACTGTTTTATTGAGACACAGATCAAATGCTGTAAAGTTTAAAGTGTCTAGTTAAGAGGTGCTTAGTGTACACTCAGTTTGTTTTGTGTTGTAGCATGTGTCAATCAGTTCTTCATTCCTTTTCTGGCTGAATAACATTCCATTGTGTGGGGAATCCACACTTAGTTTATCCATGCCTCTACTCATGGCCATTTGGGTTCTTTTTACCCTTTCATTTGTGAATATTCACGTACAAGTATGTGGGCACATTTTCAGTTCTCTTTGGTATGCACCTAGAAGTGGAATTTCTGGGTCAATGGCTGACTCTACATTTAACTTGTTGAGGAATTTCCAGATTGTTTCCTGGGATTACATCCGTAATCCTAGCACTTGGGGGACTGAAGCCAGGGGATCCAGACTTTGAGGCCATCCTTACTTAGAGTGCACTATATAGTAAGATGCTGGTGTTTTGTTTTTGCATTGCTGGGGATGAAACCCAGAACCCAGTGCCTTATATATGGTAGACAAGTGCTGTACCACTGAGCTATGTCCTCAATCTGAGACAATCCTCTATCTTAAACAAAACCCTTCCCCCTGTGCAGACTGCATCTACTCTGCTAAACACATACGGTCATTTATACTTTTCACAGCTGAAACAGAGCCTCATGAAGGAAAGAGGAAAGTGGAATCCCTCTGGCCCATCTTTAGAATCCACCACCAAAAAACCCGCTATATCTTTGACCTCTTTTACAAGCGGAAAGCCATAAGCAGAGGTGAGTGGCTAAACTTTCTCAGCCTATTACACTTGAACAGCTTCCAAAATGAAGTAGAGTCTTATCCTTGTTACCCCAGCAAACACTGAGATTTGTCTTACCATTAAAAACTGGGAAACTCTGGGAGCTGGGAATGTGGCTTAGTGGTAGAGTACTTGCCTAGCATGCATGAAGCCCCTAGGTTTGATTCCTGAGTACCACATAAACAGAAAAGGCCCTGAGTTCAAGCCCCAGGATTGGCAAAAAGAAAAAAAAAAATGGGGGAAACTGCTGGGTGCTGGTGGCTCATGCCTGTAATCCTAGCTAACCAGGAGACTGAGATCTGAAAGTTTCAGTTCAAGACCAGCATGGGCAGAAATGTCTGCAAGACTCGGTGGTTTTCAATTGATAATTCTCAAGTAAAATCTCAAGTGGAACTGTGGCCTTGAGTAGAAAAGCTCAGGGATAGCCCTAGGTCCCAAGTTCAAACCCCATGACCAACCAAAAAAAAAAAAAAAAGGAAGGGAACTTTTCTTTTTAATTGAGGGTGGAAGTGGGTTTGTCATGCTGCAGTCTGATGCTCTCTACTCATCTCTTTGGCAGAACTCTATGAATACTGTATTAAAGAAGGCTATGCGGACAAGAACCTGATTGCAAAGTGGAAAAAACAGGGCTATGAGAATTTGTGTTGCCTGCGCTGCATTCAGACCCGGGACACTAATTTTGGGACAAACTGCATTTGCCGGGTTCCCAAAAGCAAGCTGGAAGTGGTAATGTCTAATGATTCCGTTACATGTTAATTCCTGCTGAGCACTGAGCAGCACTTGTCTGGGATGCAGTTTGTCACAGGGGCTCTGCTATCCATCCTTCCTGGGAGCACTTCTCTCTTTGGAGTCTATGCTAGGTGGGGTATCTAGGTCAGTGTTGAACCCCCTTTCTAACACTGGAGAAGTGTGACTGCTCGTCTGTCCTCAGAGAGACACTTCAGTGTCACCATTACTACATTCCTTTTGCAAGAACTAATATTCTAGCTTGGTCATGCACCCAGGAGTGGTGCTGATAAGCAGTAACTATGTTTAGGGCTCCAGCCCCTCTGAAATGCAGCTGAAAGGCAGAGGAGTCACTGGCGTATGGCCCATGGTAGCTGTTGGCCCAGCTGGAGGTCTGGCCAGTGTGGCCTTTTCACCTCTAGTTTCACACAGGTGCCCCCTCCACAAAGCCTGTGCACAGCAAATGTTCATCCTGGAGCCAAGCTGTGCTCAGGCCACATGCACACACAGGCGCGCTGGGAACATGGATTGGGGGTGGGGGGCAGGCAAAAGGCAGAAGCCCCTCCCCTCGGAGAGCCTCTGGACTGCACAGAGGGTCACGATTGGGTTTAACTGGATCTCACCAGAGGAGGTGCTTACACTTAATTCCTCCAAGAGTCAGGAAAGGTAGAACCCATCCCCCTGCTCTAGGGCCACCAGGGCATTGGGCCAGTGAGCCACAGTAACCTGTGGGCCTACTCTGTCCAGTGTCCCCACCAGCACAGGGCCCAAGGTTCTTCAGAATAAGACTTAGGCACACAGATTTTTTTTTTTTTATCCAGCAATGAATTTGCATAAATGAAATGCACACAGGGAATGAAATTCCCTCTAGAACTCTCATGTTTCCCATAGGGAATGTCCTACTGGTTCCGTGGGTGCAGGGGTATGGCGGTGGGTTGCAGTCTCACAAGCGTCCTCTGTTGCAGGGCCGCATCATCGAGTGCACACACTGTGGCTGCCGTGGCTGCTCCGGCTGAGACCCCTGGCCCAGACCCCCTTCTCCATCCTGGACTGTGGACCTCGCAGGTTCCTGCTGACTGTGCCCACTCCTTCCTAGGATTGGCTATCGTCAGAGCAGTTCCTCAGGCCCCATTTGTGGGTGGCCTCTACAGGTGAAAGCGTTGGCATTCACCAGCTGTGATTTGTAAAAATAAAACCTTTCCACCTCTTGGTCCTGAGTTGGGCGTCCTGCTTCCCCTTGCTAGGTGCAGGGTGGCCCTGAGCGAGTGTGCTTCCTCAGTGAAGATGAAAACTGTACGGATCTGGCTGACCTGAGCAGGGGTGACTGGACCTGCTTTTTCCCTGCTGTAATGTGGGCACCGTAGGTTCCAAATGTGTCTCATACCAGCACAGTGCCTGTTATGTAGATGCCACGGCATCTCCCTTGACTAGGTGGAAGGGACTCCTGGGGCTCCTCTGGACAGCGTGAGGGCGTCTTGTCCCACATAGCCTCTGATCACCTCTGTCCCCCATGGCCTTTGTCTACACCAGTATCCTCACTCAAGTCTTGGTCCCTCTGGGAGTTGGTCCGGAACTTCTGCCAAGGGTGGGGGGCCGCCTCTGCTGGCATCACTTTCAACCACTGCTTATAGTAGGCTCTGAAGCCATCGATCTTCTCCAAGTAGGTGTTCTTCCCTTTGTACTGTAATGGTAAAGAGGGCATCAGGGTCACTGTGTGCCTTTGCCACCAACCCCAAATCCCAACAGCTGGCTTGGCCTTGTTCCCTGCTGCCTCCTAGCAGACTACAGGGAGAGGCAGAAAAGCTGTTGTCAGCCTGATTCCTGGCAAGATGGCCACCTCACTGGGCAGGTCAGATCCCTGCCCAGGCAGTGTCATCTCCCCAATGGAGGTCTCCTAGCCCCACAAGCCATAGTCACTGGGTTTCATCCACTCACTGCCCCCACACTGAAGGCACCTCCGTCCTGGGACCACAACTATCTCCAGGGGAGAGGGAGAGGGTTCTCCAAGAAGCTGCTAGACAGCCCCCAAAGGCCAGAGCCAGGGTGACCCTGGCCAAGAAGGCAATGCTCAACCTGGGGCACATACTCGGTCAAAGTTGGGGGGGTACTGGGCCGCAAACTCCAACTGGTGGATGATCACTTCATTCACAGGGACACCACTCTGCCTCATGTCCTTCAGAATGTCGATGAGGTAGGCATAGTCTAGCTTCTTGACGGCTGCGTTGATGAGGGTGCTGTAGATGTGGGTATTGGGGGTCACCTGGGATCTCTGAAATGAAAGCACACAGCGGTATGATGGCAGGGGCAGTCATCATCAGGCCTGCTATGGGGCCAGTCACCAGGGGCCAGAAGGGTGGAGCCTTAAGGCAACACTGGCCGTCCTCCCCCTCCAAAAGGACAGAAGAACTTGGGAGAAGCCTGCTGCTGAGGTCACAGGAGCTTCCAGGGCTTTGCTTCTGGCTATTTCCTGGGGACAGGGAGGTGGCAGCACCCTGGAGAGGAGCTGCCATAGGCTGACCATGAGGGGCATATGTGGTCCGAAGAAAGCGCCCTCTTAGACTCAGATAAAATCTGTTTAGCACTAACATCCAATGGGGGCCAGGCAGGGTATGTATCAGAACTGGACAAGGCAGTAATAACTGCCCTTTGACCCCCAAGACTTCCAATTCATTGTACCCTAGAAATACCTCTCATCCCTCCAGGGTGCTTGGGCCCAGACCTGTTCCCATCCCCTCCATGGGGCCCCCAAGAGCACCATCTTCAGTATGGAAATGGCCTGTTTCTGTGCCAAGTCCCACAGCAGCTCCTCTTGGTTCCAAAGAGGGTAGATGCCACTCTATGCTGGAAGTGGAGTCCACTTACCCTTCCCAAGTGTAGAGGGTCTGTACCCCCATGTCCTTAACAACTTTTACCCTGCACACTACCACAGGAGACCTGCCTGGACCCCCTCACCTTCATGTCTGCGAGCAGCTGCAGACCGTCCTTGTGTTGGCGGCACCCAATGGCCAGGTTGCAGAACGTCCGCAGATCAGGCACAATTCCTCGCTTTGCCAGGATTGGCAGCAGAGCCTGTGAGGTCAAATGTATCATGTCTGTCTTCTGGGGCTCGCCCCCCCAGGGGAGGACTTGTGCTGAAGCCCTGGATGGGCTGTTGGGAGACCCCAGGGGCCCAGGTCTGTTCAAAGGCCTCCCAGTGCCCTCTGCTGCAGGCATCATGCATGGCCTGGGCTCTAGAGCTACGTTTCACAATGGGATCCAGAGAGGAAGGGGAAAAGGGGCTCATGGGAGTGTGCCTGGGGCCTGCCCCACCCCCAGCCAAGCCCCTTACCTTTGCCCCCTCCAGATCTCCTGACTTGCTCTTCTTCCTCATCAGCGTGTTGTAGAACGTCACATCAGCCTCCACCTGGTGTGTGTCCAGTGAGGTCAGCAGCGAGGCCTCTGCGGGGCTCCCGGGCTCTACCACCTCTGCCAGCAGTGTGAAGGTTTTGATGTCTGGCTGGATCCCGTGCTCTGCCATCTTGCCCAGGAAGCCTTCTAAGCCCCCCATCAAGGCCAGCCTGTCAGCAGGAGTGGCCACCTTCCCAAAGGAGACCACAGTTGGGGAGACAGCCCCGAGAGCCAGGAGGTTGACCTCTGGCTCCATGGGAGGAGGCCTCAGGGCCAGTGGGGCCAGGGCTGCTGAGTGGTCGGCCTGTGCCTCCATTTCCATCTCGGGCTGGGCTTTGCTAGGCACCCTGGCATCCAGAGGCTTTGGAGGCCCCTCTAGTGCCTGAGAAGGTTCCAGAAACAGCTCCTTTTCCAGTGCCTCAACGTGGAGTCGTGCTGCCATACCATCACCTAATTTGAACTGGCCCTTCCTTCCTACCCGCCGCCTGCCTGTAGGTGGCTGGAGCAGAACTGTGCCTTCCTGGGGCCTCAGGAGCAGCCTGGAGGCCAACTCTAGGTCCCCCAGGCCGCAGTCCCGAGCTGCCCCCAAGAGCAAGTTGTAGCCATACTGGTTTGGCTTGATTCCCAGACTTAGCATCTGCCTCCACACCTGTGAGGAAAACACAGACACTGGCTCAGAGTTCTACCAATCCAAGGCCTCCAGCAGCAGGGGGGTGAGGAATCAGATGGCAAAGTCACTCAAGGCACAGTGAAAAGCTGGGTTCCACCCAATCCCAGAAAAAAAGAAGAAAAAAAAGAATGGTGTGGGTCAGTAGTCCCAGCATTCAGCAGGCTGAAATGTGAAGCTCATTTGAGACTAGGAGTTCAAGGTTCACCTGGGTAACATAGTAAAACACTATATATACATATACACACACACACACAGAATACACATACGCATATCTATACACATATAAACACTATGTCTATGTATATATATGCAGTATATGTTACACATAATAATATGTATAATATATGTATATTTTTTAAAGGAACCAGAAGAATCTGACAAGTGTCTACCTGACTCCAGACTCCAGCAGCTCTCCTCTCCTTCCTCAAGCTCACCCCTAAACTGTTCTACCAGTATGGTCCCTCTACCATCTCTTCAGAGCCCTTCTACTTGAGATCTCTGCCCATCATCTCCTTCGTCTCCCCTATGGTAGGGCTGGCCAAAGAGGCTAGGTTCTAGAAGAATCTAGGCTGACTTTGCAGGCTGAGATTCAGCAGTGCCTCCCATTTACCTGATGCATGCCTAGCCACAGGCCCCAAGGCTGAGGCTTAGATGCTGAGACTTGAATTCGTCATGTCAGATGCAGGACAGGACAGAGGCAGAGAGAGCCAGCAATGTAGATTGTCAGACTGTGGCCTAAACCCCACATCTCAAGCCATTCCCGTGTTTGCAACATACACCCAGCACATGTGTGGGGGTGACCCACAGCGCTGGGGTCACATCTAGGCCAGGACTGTGCTGTTGTTTCTATGATGCCAGTTAGCTTATGTGTTTCATCTGCAGGCTCAGACAGGCATCTATACCGAACTTGGGGCCAGGGTGGCGCCTGACATCCCAGCTCACCCAATGAATGGCACTCCCAAAGCTGCCCGGGAGAGCAGCAGGCCAGGTCCCAACCGCCTGCTGGGGCAGGATCTTGAGGATGGTGAGGATCTGGGCAGCCACACAGACAAGGAGTGTGTGTGTATGTGTAAGGGACATGCGCTACCCCATGATGGTGGCAGGGAGTCAGCTCTAGGGTCACGTCAACTTCAGTCTTAGCCTCAGCGCTCAGTAGATGTGGGGTCTCAGGGAAGTTTCAAATCTCCACCAATCTCCATTTCCTCACCTGCAGAATGGGACTCACAGAGCCAGGCAGAGGCATTTCAGTGTTTGTACAGCACAAACACCCCCTGAGGACAATAAGATACTTTAACCAGAACAGGCCAAGGGGAATGTGTTGGCTGATCTTAGGAGATGGAGGCCAGCTGGGCAGCCACAGCTTCTGGGAATTCTGCAGAGGGACACAGGTCTGTGGTCCTAATAAGTTGTGGTTTTGCTTAAAGGGGGCGGGGGGAAACTGGAAAGAGGACAGGATGGGAGGCTGGGTGGGATTGCTGCTGGTCTCTGACACACACGTTAGGATGCAGGGGATGACACTGAGAGGCCACAGAAGCAGCCAAAACACCCATGTAAACACCAACCAACCCTGCAATGAAGGGGACTGTGTGCATGTGTGCATGGGGGTAAGTGGGGTGGGATTCAGGTTGGATGTGTTGATCTCTGCACTCCTAGTGATCACACTGCAGGGGGTCAGCAGGGAGTTTAGGGGGCAGAGTCGCTGCCCATCTGCACACCTTTGTTTCCTGCTGTCTACAAAACAGGGGCTCCAGGTGCCCCATGATGGTTGCCAGGAGGGCCAAAGTTGGCCACGCACACAACCTGCTTTGCACCCCGGCGCATGAGGCTCAGGGTAGGAGGGACTGACCTGCAGGGCATATCGGAAGCCTGTCTTCTTGTCCTGGATGCAGCCCATAAGCAGGAAACTGAAGGTCTCCGCGGTGACCAAGTGGCCCTTGTGGACGATTTCCTAGGTGGGGAGCAAGGCAGGCTGGTTGCAAACCTACAGCAGGGCCCAGGCCACATACCTTGCTTCCAGCCAGCTTGGGCAGCACCTCTGCAAAGGCCACCCAGGCAGTCACAGAGCTGGGGTGGGGGTGGGGGGTCTTTTCACCCAACCCCTGGCCAGCTGTGGGAGCAAGTGAGAACAGCCCACCAAGATGAGCACACTGCCACAGTGCTTCTCACTGGCCCTTTGGGCATGTCAGAGTTAGCCACTGCCTTCCTGGGACACTCCCTCCACTTCCTCACCCCACAGGGGTACCCTTAGACCCTCAGGGGAGGGGCAGGAAACAGGGGCGGCTCCCCACCTTGAACACATCGAGGCACATCCTGAGGTCTGCACACCTGGCAGCTACCTTCAGCAGGGCATGGTAGGTTTTGAGGTTGAGCTGGAAGTTTCTGGCCTGCAGCTGCTGTCGGAGCTTCAGGGCACTCTGCAGGGCTGAGTCCTTCCACGGGGACTCGGCACAGACATTGAACAAGGCTGTATATGTGGCGTCTGAAGGCTCCAGCTGTCTCTTTTTCATCTGTGCAGATGGGAGAAATACAGGAACATTGAAAGACCATGATGTTCCTTGGTCATCCCCCCCCCCTCTCTCTCACACACACACACCTTTTTTTCCTGGCTCCCCATGGTCATGCCAAGAGCAGAGTATACCAAATGGTAAGAGCATGGGCTGCCATGGGCTGGCTTCAGGCTGCAGGAGATGAGCTCTCTGCTGTGAGCGCCCAGGTCTCCAGGGCCACACTCCTTTCTGACACACAAAGGAAATGGCTCCCTGGCTCTTAGGGAGGTCTTTTCCCAAAGAGCTAGCTTGGATGGAGTGGGATCAAGAAAAAGAACAAGCACACACAGGATAGGGGAACAAAAAAGGTACTCAGGAAATGCACACCACAGCCCAGGCATGTTTTTTTTTCTTTGGTACCAGTATTGGGACTTGAACTCAGGGCCTAAGCTTTTGTACTCAAGGAGAGCGTTTTACCACCTGAGCCATAGCTCCACTTCTGGCTTTTTTTGGTGGTTCACTGGAGAAAAGAAGCTCATAGACTTTCCTGCCCAGGTGGGATTTGAAGCATGATCCTCAGATTTCAGCCTCCTGAGTACCTAAGATTAAAGGTGTGAGCCATCTGCTCAGGTAAAGGATGTTTCTTCACATTGCTTCATTCAATCCCCTCAGACCACCTGCATTTTACAGTGGTGAACCTGACTCCAGGAAGTCTAAGTTATTGGCCCAAGCACTGCCAACTAGCACCCTTAGGTCCTGCACCCAGTGCATGCACCTTAAGAGGCTCAGCCCTGAGGCCCTGCCTGCCTTCCCACCCCCTTGCACTCACATCATTGTAGAGCCTGAAGGCCTTCTTCAGGTAGCCAACACGCCCACAGCCACCAATCAGCACCGTGTAGTTGTACTCCAGCGGCTGCAGTCTCTCCTCCTTCAGCATCTGCCTCTCAAACAGGTCCAGAGCATTGGCCAGCTGAGGGGAAAGTGGAGATGGACAGGGCAAGGGGCTCAGGATGGTCTCCAAGATGCTCAGCAGAGGGAGAAAGGTGGGAAGGGACAGCCAGTGCAAAGGTCCTGAGGCCAGGGAAGTGGGAAGGATTGAAAGAGCAGCCAAGGTGCCCAGATGGCCACAACAGCATGGGGAGTAGGAGGATGGAGAGAAATGGGGATGGGGCAGCAGATCCCCCAGGTCCTCATAAACCACTGTGAGGATCTTGGCTTCCCTTTGTTTTTCTTGTGCCAGTCTTGGGGCTTGAATTCAGCACCTGGGTGTTGTCCCCGCTTTTCCATTCAAAACTACTGCTTTTCCACTTGATTTTTTTTGGTGGTTAATTGGAGTTAAGAGTCTCGTGACTTTCTTGCCCCAGCTGGGTTTGAACCTCAATCCTTAGATCTCAACCTCCTGAGGAGCTAGGATTATAAG